CCCACCTCTAGAGGGATCCCACTTGGGGTCCGAGTGCAGTACGGGCGCGACCATAAGAAACCTTCCACAAGAAACTAAACCCTGAGACCCCAAGACGTCCATGGATTTTTGGTATGGAAACATCACGCTTTCCATAGCAAAACCATCGAATCCAAAGAATTCCAGGGCACCCTGGAGGCAAGCAGGGTTTTTCTTGACACGGGTTTCCACTGTAGATGGGGTCGGAAGCTCGCGTCGCATCGCCGATGCATCGGCGCCGTGGGGGTGCAGAACATCGTGCTACACATCGAGCCTCATCGCCGCTACCTCGGCGATGCGGCGCGGTCCACCGACCCCATCGACAGACATGCGATGCCTTGATCTTTTAATTGTGGGGTCCCCGGAAATCCCGACCCTTTCTCCATTTGGAGGCCCGAAATGGGCACGGAAAGAATGGGTACAATGCCTAACAACAAATGTTGTCCCAAACCAACAGCGGCCGCCGTTGGGCAGGCGGCCTCCTGTCTCAAATGGACACAGACCGCGTCCGCGCGGACAGCGAGCCCTGTTCAAAATGAACAGGAACTGCTGTTGGGCATTGTACCCATTCTTGAAGGGGCCCCAGGACACACAAATAAATACACACAAATAAACAGATTCCACATATTTTCCCATATTTTCTGGGTTTCTGTCTTCCCCCCCACTTCCCATATTTTCCTATATTTTCTGGGGAATCGACGATTAATTGTGTCTGTGTGTTTTTTCCCCTCCTGAATTCTTTCCGTACCCATTTCGTTCGTGCAGACTCCAGGGCCGGCTCTTCCATCCGGGCCGCTTCAGCACGGCCCCGGGGCCCGGCGAGGGCCCGCGGAGGCCAGACACTGCCACAGACTTCCCGTCGTGGCTTCTTAAGCTCTTTTTGCGCCACGGGCCTGCCTGGGACTCCATCTGCTCTAATGAAATAAAAACCCAGACGTGCGACGTCCTGAATTTTTCAGTACGGGGTCCCTGGAAGTCTCGACCCTTTCCCCAGGACCCGTTTTTCGCCCTGAGCCGGTAAGGCCTGAGCGAGGGGGCCAGGGGAGGAAGAAGTGCCGTTACCGCTGCCCTTTGCCCCTCTTTGGCCTCTCCTGGGCTTCTGGAGGGTCCCTCGCCGCCGCCGCCGACGGACTCGCCTCGAACCTCTGGTCCGAACGCGCTCGGGGAGAGGTCTGGGCAATCCTCTTGGGTCCTGAGCCGGTTTCTCGTCCTGAGCCGGTTCTTCGTCCTGAGCCAGTTTCCCCGGGACCCTTTCACGGTCCCGAGGCCTGGCAGGGGCCCCCCCTGGAGGCCGAGAAGGGCCCCAAAGCTCCCGTCCCGATTTTTTTTTTTTTTTTTTTTTTTTTTTTTTTTTTTTTTTTTTTTTTTTTTTTCTACGCGGCCGGCGCGACTCTGTATGGAACAGAAACTTCGGAGCTCCGCGCGGCACTCGGATGCGCTGACCCTACCTCCTCTGCGCGCGGAGCTAGCCAAGGGCGGCGCCAGGGAGGGCGCCCCCAGCGCGAGGAGGAGGAGGAGGAGGAGGAGGAGGAGGAGGCGAGTAGGAGGAGGAGGAGGAGGAGGAGGAGGGAGGAGGAAGGAGGAGGAGGAGGAGGAGGAGGAGGAAGATGAGGAGGAGGAGGAGGAGCTCCGACAGTATGTCTATGCCATTATCTGTTCCACAATGTCTGGGACTCCATCTGCTCGGGCCCACTTTGGGAGGCCTGCTTCGACCCCATGTTTGGGGTGCCTGGAGCCTTGTCCTGCAGCTCCTCCTGTGCCTCGCGGATCAGCCGGTCCTGGACCGCCTTGTCCTTCATGGACGCCTCCAGCTTCTTCTCCAGGGCTCCAGTGGCCACCCGGTTGCGCTCCGTCTGCACCTCCAGGGTGCTGATGTTCTCCTAGACGATGAGAGGATGGCATAACATCAATTTTCAAAGGTCCGCGCGGATTTCCTGGATCGGCGCCTTGCCATCGCTCGGACGTCCATTCCCTGTGCATTTTTTTGGTTCCGTGCGTGGTTTTTGTTCGCGAAATGATCAAGGATGCTCCTCGATGGTCCTCGCCGAAGGAAAAATGCACACGCCCAAGCGATGCCAGGGCGCTGGAGCAACCCGGCGGCGACTCCAGCGCCGCCGCCCCTGGCGCGCTCCGCGCGCCAGGGAGGGGCATCCAGCGCCGACCCGGGAAATCCGCGAGGAGCTCCGAACGTCTCTGCTGTGCCAGTGCTTGCTCTCCGGATGCTCTCCTTCTGGGACACCGCGAGGTGCCTCACGGCGCCGATCCGGTCGTTGAGCTCCTTCTCCACCTGGTCCACGCTGGAGCCCGCCGCCTTGGAGTCGACGAGGGACCTGAGCTCGGCCATGCCCCCGCGGAGCTCGGAGTGCTGCAGCTCCATGTCCCGGAACTTGCGGATGATGTGCTTGACGACAGGGGAACGAAAGTTGGCATACGCATAAAGACGCGGAGGCCCGCGCGGATTCCTCGGATCGGCGCTGGACCCCCCCCCCGTGGCACACGGAGCGCGCCAGGGGCGGCGCCGGAGGCGCCGATATTGGGGGGGCCCCAGCGCCGAGCCGAGGAATCCGCGCGGACCTCAGATTTTTCTTATGTTTGTGTCAGGCTTCGCTCCCCCAGACGAGGTGCTCCAGGTTCACGAAGGAGATGAGGCCCTCGCCCAGGTCGTCGTCGTCGTCGTCGGCCTCGCCGCCGCCGTCCTCGGCGGCCTCTTCGGGTGACTCAAGAGGGGGTCCAGCTGAAAGGGGGTGGCGCAATAGATTTGGGGCAATTGTATTGCAGATGCATTGCGCCGGAGAACTGCATCGCAGGGTACTGCAAGCAGTGCGCGGCACGCGAAAGTGCAGCAACACACTCGCGCCCCGACTCGTGCTGCACGCCCCGAGAGTCATGCAGCCCCACAAGTCTATTAGGAGGAGGAGGAGGAGGCGGAGCAGGAGGAGGAGGGGGAGGCGGAGGAGGATGAGGAGGAGGAGGAAGCGGAGGAGGATGAGGAGGAGGAGGAAGCGGAGGAGGAGGAGGAGGAGGCGGAGGAGGTGGAGGTGGAGGAGGAGGAGGAGGAGGAGGAGGAGGAGGCGGAGCAGGAGGAGCCCCCTCGTCGCTGCACGCCCCTTTGGGCTCAACCCGAGGCCTCGCCGGCGCCCGAGCCCTCGAGGGGCGGCGGCGCCGCGTCGGCGGCTGCGGCCATGGCCTCCTCGGCGGCCGCCTCCGCCATGGGAGGGCGCGCTGTTCGCGCCCTCCCCGGGCCTGCCGGGCCAGCACTGGGCCCGGAGCGGCAGCAGGGGGCTCGGGCGCCCCGCGGGGCGGAGCCCGTGGTGGGCCGGGGGGGCGCTTTTCCCGAGCCTGGGCCCCTGGCCTTCTGCTCCTCCTCCTCCTGCTCCTCCTCCTCCTCCTGCTCCTCCTCCTCCTCCTCCTCCGCCTCCTCCGCCTTCTCTCTCTCCTCCTCCTTCCTGCTCCTTCTCCTCTCTCCTCCTCCGCCTCCTCCTCCTCCTCCTCCGCCTCCTCCTCCTCCTCCTCCGCCTCCTCCTCCTCCGCCTCCTCCTCCCCCTCCTCCTCCTCCTCCTCCAGGCGGAGCGGGCCTCTGGCTCGAGCTCCCGTGCCGCCCTGCGCTCCTCGAGCCCGGCCCAGAGCGGGCTCGTTCGGCGGGCTCCGAATTTGCGCTCGACCTCGAGGACACGCCGACGGCGTACGGCTAAGTCGGGCCTGTCCCGCTACAGGGGGATTTTCGACGAAAAATAAACAGTACCCCGAGAATAGTCAAAACATATTCCAAACATAGTCTGGGGACTATTTTTGAGTATTATTTGACCTTTTTGGGGTATTTTGGGGGTATTTTTTATTTTTCGTCGAAAATCCCCCTGTAGGGGGACACGCCCGACATAAGCGTACGACTCGCTCGCCGAGTTCGCTCTCGAATCCCAGCCAGCTCGCGCAGACAAGTCGGCATCGATCTATCCAGAAGAACCAGCACAGACACGCGCACAGATGATTCTGCGAGTCCACGAGGAGTGCTCGGATCGGCGCTGGACCCACCTCCCCGGTGCCGCAGGAAGCGGCGGCGCCGCGGAGGCGCCGCCCGCGAGGCTTCCAGTGCCGATCCGAGACAGCCGCGCGGACCTGCGAGAGTTCTGCTTCGGCAGATTGTCGGCGGCGCGCTCGGACCGACGGCCCCCGCGACGAGCCCCGCGACGGATCCCCGCGGCGGCCCCCAACGACGGCCCCGCCCCGGCGCCGCCGAAGACGGCGCACGCCACGACGGCGACGACGACCGCGACCAGGCCTCCCCACGCCCTCCCTTCCCCTTGACGCCCTCCCTGCCACGCGACGCGAGCGACTGCGGCCACTGCGATCCACCGACCCCCTTCAATATGGCAGCCGTGACCCATCTCTCGCTGCCGCCGCCATGGCAACCCCACCCGCCTCCGCGAGTTGTCTGCAATCGTCTTGAGGCTGCGGCCGACAGGCTGTTATCACGTAGACACTGAAACAATCGCCCAGTGCTCTCAAACGCGTGGCTCCGAGCAGGCTACGCCCATGTTGCCATTGCCCGCCCCTCTCGCACGCGTTGGCGGCGCTGTAGCGGACTTCATCCCCCACATCTCGCTCAGGACGCCTGTTTCCAGTGCCTGCCCTGCTCGCACAGCCTGGTCACAAGTCCACAGCCACTGGTGAGGTCCAGGTCGAGATTTCTCGAACGCACCTTCCCGAGGACGACCTGGATGTGGTGAACTCGCTCAGCCTTCTCGCACGCTCCCGTTCCAGACTTGCAGCTGATGATGTTGGCTCCAACCTCGCATGCCTACCTCGCTGATCAGCAACAGAGCCCGTTGCCAGTTTCGACCATTCTCGCTCGCGCTCGTGCTAGCGTTGTCGTTGATGACTTGGGGCTACATCTTCGATTTCGCCAATTTCCCTACAGTACGCTGCGGCTAGTTGCCTTTCCCGCGCTCGTTGACCCCATGATTAAAATTGAGTTTGTTCTGCATTTACCCGCGTATCGCAATAATTATGGCGTCAATGAAGCTACCGACATTGGACTCAACATTTGCGTCCCGCGTCTCCTTGAGCAACCAAATCGCCCGTTGCCATTGCCCGCATCTATCGCAAGCCAGAACCCCAGCGCTGCAGCTGGTGAAGTTGGGAACCAGCTTCGCTTCCCACATCTCGCTCAGCAGCGACAGAGCCCGCTGCCATTGCCTGCCTTTCTCACACGCGCTGATCCCAGCGTTGTAGGAGATGACGGCGGGCTCCAGCTTCGCCTCCCGCATCTCGCTCAGTAGCGCCAGAGCCCGCTGCCACTGCTCGCCCTTCTCGCACGCGCTGATCCCAGCGCTGTAGCTGACTAGGGCTAACCCGTGGACTTCGTCCACGTCATCTTGGGCCAGTCTTGGCTCGAAACGGCCGTCTTGGGCCTGTCTTCGCTCGAAATGGCGAGAAGGTAGAAATCTTTCAGAAACCATCGAAGAATCAATGACTTCGTTTGCCGCGGCTCGTTTGGAGCGTCTTCGAGCGGTCTTGGGCCGTCTCGGAGGCCCTCTTGGACCGCTTCCTTCTCTTCGTCCGCCTTCCGCTCTACCTCCGCCTAGACAGCCTTCGGAGCGTCACAGACAGCTATGGTGAGTCTGCGGTGTACGTCTCGCCGCTTGTCAATTTTGAAAGCACCTGGGGCTCTGAAAAAAATCACCCGGAGGGCTCTGGTGACTTTTTTCCGGTTGCCTCTTCGAATCCTGATGGCGGGCGCTGCCGTCTCCTTGGGAACGGTTAGTGGGCCTCGTGGGGTTTCTTTTCGAGCTCCTGGGGGCCTGTTGGGGCCTCGTTGGCTGTCTTGCGGCCTCCCAGGGGCCTCTTGGGGCCCTCTTGGGCCGTCTTGCGGCCTCCTGGGGGCCTTTTCTCTTGAAGTTTTTTGTGGCGCCTCTGGGGCCGTTCCTGGGCTGTCCCCCCGAGCCTCTTCCGGGGACAGCCCAGGAAATCTATTGTGCTTGCGTGCTGTGCGTGCGTGCTCCTGTGTGAGAGGTCGGAAGGGTGTCCCGACGTCACCGCTCGCTCTTGGGAGCTGTGCCTGGGAGAGCTCTCTACGCTGCGTCTCGCTCTTGGGAGCCTTGGTGAGAAGAACTTTGAGAGAGCGCGCCCACAGGGCCCGAGCAAAGGGGAGGGGGGGCTAGGCTTAAGCTACCCCCCCCTCCCTTGAGCCGCCCTTGTTGGAAGCACCCCCCCCCTCCCCTCCTTTTTTTGCAAGGGGGGGGGGGCTTACAGCTACCCCCCCCTCCCCCCTTGGGCCCTCCCCGGAAGCTACCCCCCCCTCCCCCCCTTTCAAAAGGGGGGGGGGGTGCTTAAGCCACCCCCCCCTCCCTTGGCGCCGCCCTGCTGGAAGCTACCTCCCCCCCTCCCCCCCTTTCGTGCAAAGGGGGAGGGGGGCTTGGAAGCTACCCACCCCCCACCCCCCTTTGGCCGCCCCGGAAGCTACCCCCCCCTACCCCCGGGGGGGTGCTTAAGCTACCGCCCCCCTCCCTTGGAGCCGCCCTGCTGGAAGCTCCCACCCCCCTCCCCCCCTTTGTGCCAAAGGGGGGGGGGGCTTGGAAGCTTGCCCCCCCCCCTTGCCCCCTTTGGCCGCCCAGCCCCCGGAGCCTCCGCCCTCCCTTTCGCCGACGATCCAAAATGAACAATCCACGATCGAGGATGGACGATCGACGATCAACGATCGACAATCGAAAATCCCAATCGAATCGCTTGCAATCGATTGCACTCCATTCCACTGCAATCCCCCTCCCCACCTCCCTCCGCTCCCTCCCCTCCCTCCACACCCTTCGTTCCATCTCCTCCCTCCCCTCCCTCTCCTCCCCTCCCTCCCTTCCGTCCTGTCCCTCCCCTGCAATCCAATCGATTGAATCGATTGCAATTCAACCGATTGCAATCCAATCGATTGCAATCCAATGGATTGCAATCGATTGCAACGCAAGTGTATCATTCAACTCGTCCCGTGCCAACGCCCGGGAACGAAAAATTACCCTGGCGACGTACCCAACCCCTGCGCAACCGCGGGGCGCAAATAGTTTAAGACACTTTATAAGGGAGGCGATGACGGAGCGAGGGTTACATTTGTATGCAGACGGAATTCGGGAGACTCGCAGGACACTGGCTTCAGGACAAGGACTAGATAAAGCTGATTAGTTGCACTCCCCGAGCAACCCTCGCCACTTCGAAAGCGGGGATCTCAGATCGCAACCCCCCAGGGATGGCGAGGTCTAATTTGAGTCCGCGCGTGGCGTCACTGTGCTGGGCCCCCCAGCAGGCCTCGAAAGTGGCGACCGTTTCACAGATCGCAGCCCCCCAGGGATGGCGAGGTCTAATTTGGGTCCGCGCGTGGCGTCACTGTGCTGGGCCCCCCAACAGGCCTGGAAAGTGGCGACAGTTTCGCAGATCGCAGCCCGCCAGGGATGGCGAGGTCTAATTTGGGTCCGCCCGTGGCGTCACTGTGCGGGCCCCCCAGCAGGCCTCGAAAGTGGCGACGGTTTCACAGATCGCAGCCCCCAGGGATGGCGAGGTCTAATTTGGGTCCGCCCGTGGCGTCACTGTGCTGGACCCCCCAGCAGCCTCGAAAGTGGCGACAGTTTCACAGATCGCAGCCCCCCAGGGATGGCGAGGTCTAATTTGGGTCCGCCCGTGGCGTCACTGTGCTGGGCCCCCCAGCAGGCCTCGAAAGTGGCGACAGTTTCACAGATCGCAGCCCCCCAGGATGGCGAGGTCAAATTTGGGTCCGCCCGCGGCGTCACTGTGCTGGGCCCCCCAGCAGGCCTCGAAAGTGGCGACAGTTTCACAGATCGCAGCCCCCCAGGGATGGCGAGGTCTAATTTGGGTCCGCGCGTGGCGTCACTGTGCTGGGCCCCCCAGCAGGCCTCGAAAGTGGCGACAGTTTCACAGATCGCAGCCCCCCAGGGATGGCGAGGTCTAATTTGGGTCCGCGCGTGGCGTCACTGTGCTGGCCCCCCCAGCAGGCCTCGAAAGTGGCGACAGTTTCGCAGATCGCAGCCCCCCAAGGATGGCGAGGTCTAGGAGGAGGAGGAGGAACGGAACGGAACGGAAGGACCCGCGGGGGAGTACGATGATGATGATGATGATGATGGTGATGATGATGACTTTGAGGAGGATGAGGAGGACGAGGAAGAGGAGGATAATAATAATAATGCGGCATAGAGGCGCGCCGTGTCTCTGGTTTCCCGCAGGTCCGAGGCGGGGCAGGCCTGAGCAGGCCTTTGCCAAAAAGTAAAACGTAAGCACTCTAAGAATGCAGAGGAACAGGGACAGCGGAAAAAATATCGTTCTTGCACGGCTGCCAGCCGAAGCTGGGTTTAAACCAGGAGCAAGCGAGAGGGCCTAGACAAGCCCCAACAGGCTCAGCACAAACCCTGGGGAACCGTCGCACCGACGAGTCTGGGTACGACGCGCGACACGGATATAACTACCAACTGACTGTATCAGGCAGGCGGCACGGCAACAACGCGGCGGCGGTGACAGCCCCTCAAGCCTGGAACGAGACCAGGCTCACATACACGTAGAACACGGGAGGCGAAGAGCGGGGATAACGCCATCGGCACATCGACCAGCTGGGTGGTGAGGGCGTCGGCATACTCAAAGGAGGCAGCACTCGTAGCGGGAGATCCCGATCCAAGTTGTGCGCGGCACCCCCGCCAGGAAAAAGTGGTGTATGAACTCCAATATGCGCCATGGGGCGCACACGCCACTCAGTAGAGAGCCATGCCATAAACACAATTCATATCGATGAGTAAGCCCAGCGCCTTCAAATCGGCCGAGGAGAATCGCAATCACAACAAAACAGTGCAGGTCGTCACCATACTTCATCAGAAAAGGAACGACTGGGTCAAGCACTCGCGGGTGCTTGTCCAGTAAATGAGGCTGTGGGGACCACTGACGGCACACATTGATAGGCTTCTGAAAACACCATGCGAAATTCATCAGGCGCCGAGGTCACACCCATCAGCGCCCCAGCGGTAAGTAATAACTGTATGTCGCCACCAACAGCCTCAAAATGGAGTACATGGGTGCACCGACGATCCTGCAGCAACTCAGCGCCAGCATATGGTAGATATGAACCAAGCACTTCATCCAATGGTTGGTGCGAGCAGCATCCGTATGCACTGGTCATGCCGTCAAAAACCGCAATATGATACTTTCATTCTCTTCAAAAAAAACAAGCAGTAACATGCACGGGCAGGGCCGCATTGTCACGTCGTCGATGTGCTCCGTCTGGTCTACGTTCTGGAGGCTGAGATGCATCTTCTTCTTGTTCTGGTCGTAGCACTTGGTTATGCGGAACAGGCGCACTTGATCCCAGACCTCCTCCAACGAAGCTTTGCAAAACCATTCCTTGTACCACAGGAGCAGCTCCTGATACGCACCCTTGATCAGCACTTGATGTGAGCAACAAGGGGGCACCTTTGTATATACATCTGCAAACAGCACGAAACAGCGGTAACCAAATCTCACTAGATGGACTCCAGCAGGGGACATCACGTCGACGCGATGCCTTCTTTAGCGCAACAATCGCCCGCACAAGACCACGGGCTCCTTTTTCCTGACAGATGTCTCGAACAGTGGGGCCCATGGGCAACATAGCATCACGTCGAGCCTCCAATTCAGCAGGAATGCTTGCAATGGCCCCAGGGCCACCACGCGCACCAGGAAGGGACAGCATATCCTTGATCTCCTGTACGCATGGGACATTTTTTTGTCACAGCGTTGTACGTGCAAAGCTCGGGGCCGAAACCAGTGCCCGCCAGCCGTCTAGATAAATATTGTGCAGTTGCCAATTGTCGCTTTCTCCACTCCACTGCCAACTCCTCAATCCAAGAAGAATGCAATTGGCGTCGCCATTTTTGTACACGTCCTTTGCGTCGAGCAGAGCGGTCCCGAATTTCACTGTCACGGTGCAGGCGCGGGAGGCTCTGCTGACAAAGGCGACCGCTACCGTGTAAACTAATGAGCTGTCGTACGTCTCTCCGTAGTTGCTTCATATGTTCGACAGATAATGTTTGTGACATGGCAAAATCTTTCACATCAGTGGGGAATGCCACCTTGCATAATTCACGGTATCCATTCTCACTCATCGTGGCCTCTACATCTCCAAAGATGATGGCCTCAACGCGTCGCAGCTGGCGTGCAGACTCGGCAAGAACATCTTCACGAAATCCTAGTGTCTGAACGGCGAGGGCCTCTAAATCTTTGTTCCAACAAATATCCCGTCGAGGCAATGCCAATGGTAGCAACAGCTCCACATGCAATAAAAAAAGGGGCGTGGTCGATCAGGTAGCCACTGCCAGGAT